CTCCTATAATTGCTTGGCACCTGACTTACGCATCATACTTTTGTATGTTTATACGTAATGTTAATGGCATGTCTATAAACCTGAATGAAATACGTATACGATATATACTATACTTTTGACATAAATACCTACAAAATTTACATATTATATCAGAGCACGAAACCAATCAAAACATATTTTCTTCTCTTGTTTTCTTTTCCTTGGGTAATTTTCTTTTCACTAAAAAGAAAAGTAATATAACAACGAGTGAGTCCATAAATTTTCTTGGCCAGCTAAAATGGCTACGAATTGGCGCAAAAGGGTTTAGTCAATAGGTAGCTAACTAGCTACATAGATCATTTGTAGTCATTGTGTTGCTAGTCACAAATTTTCCTCTAACCTATATCTGTGATCATTCAAGAATATCTCATGTCTGATTATTCATTTATGAAACATTTACCCACAAAAGATAGTTGGTTATTTAATTTACGGCCATCCATAATCCTATAAAAAGTATTTTATAAACCCAACAAGACCGGTCTAGAGAATGTATGATCCTATATAGCTGGATGAGATATATATTCATCTTGGTTTCCAGATTTTAACCAGTATATGTATAAATTATTTGGTCCATAAACTGTAGAATAAAAATTATATATAACTCATTTGGTTTCCAAACCGTAATTGCTTCTAGTCCCATAAATTTCAGACTCAGCTCTGTAAACACAGAACAATATTGTTTCTGATCTTCCGCCAAAGTCATATACAAATTTTGGACCCTATCACATCACAAACGAGGTCGAATGGCTCAAAATGTTTCTTCTTAAGTCTGGTTTCCACCATAATCGAAAATGATGATGTGCATGTGATAGTAAAACAACTATTCGCATAATTAAAAATTTAATGATCTGCATACGTAGGAAAAATATCGAAATCAAGTTGTCACTTTGATTATGATGAAATTCGTAATGGTGCATGACATGTCTCAACTAAAGAACAATTTGTGGACATTCTCAATAAAGCACTAGATCTCAGAGAATCAACATTTACTTATCCAAGTTGGACGTTTAAAATATATTTTATAATTAATAGGCATATTAAGATTAATTAAGATGACTAACCGTGGTATATATACAACTTCTGGTTGCTTTAGAACAACACTTATGCAACATATTTTTGGTTACAAATTAACATTTTGTATCTATCATTATAAAGTGTATATGGGTGAGTTTTGCAACCTAAACACTTGTAACTTTTCATAATTCCCGACAACAATATATTAAAATCCATTGTTTGATCAAACATTGCAAACTAGGCAACTTTATTATAAAAAAAATCTTTTGATAAAGAGTTACCATTCTTCAAAGTTTTGCTTATAGCATTATTTTTTTTAGGGTAAATTGCATGTTATGGCAGTTGACCAAGTTTTAATTTCAAGTTTTGGCAAAGTGAGAATGGGCTTTCAAGTTTTGACATTTTGGCCAAAATCTGACCATTTTACCCCTACCGATGTACTGTTCACTGTACGGTTCAGTTAAGCGTACGGTTCAGTTAAGCGGTTCACTGTATGGTTCAGTTAAGCGGTTCAGTTACGTACACTGTTCCGGTTACGCAATATATTTCGTTCTTAATTGATTTGTGCGGGAGTACAATGACAAGTTGGGATTAATAACATTAAAACACAATGAGACATCAGTATTTAATGCCCAAAAAGTTTAGACATGACTCATGTCACAATTAATGCAAAAGTCATCATTACTTTTTCTAATATTAGTTTATATGTGTGAATAGTTGTAAGAGACAAACATGATCCATCAAAGAAACAAATTTTTCTGAACGAATGCATCGGTTTGATCTTCTTGATTTACAAAGTTTGGAGCCAAGACAAGCATTGAACGTGTAAGTAATGAAATTGGTTAAGAAGTTTTTTGTTTTAACACACTAGGGTCTTGATTGTGTGCTAAGATCAACATTGTTTTTATATAAAACCCCAGAATATTTTTATTTCCACTTTTTTTAGTTAAAATTGCTAAATGAGGATAGATTTATGTTTATAAGTATGTAGTTGGGAATTCTTTTTGTTTTTTGTAGATATAATCATGCTTTCATTTGCATTTAATGGGGTTCTGCTGAATTTATGATGCATGTTGGTAATGGATATTCCCGTATTTACTATGGTGGGTGAGTGGAAATGCAAAGAAGAAGAATGGAAATTTGAACCATAGGAAGGCTGGTTTGGTCGTTGTGTACGTGTTAGGCAAAACATGACGTACACGGCATTTGTACGTACATTATGCGAGGTTTTCAGTTTGAAGTGCACCGAATGCAATCCAATAATTAGTTACTGGATGCCGGGAAAGATGTCAGTGATGATAGAAAGTAAACGCCCTCCTGTATACATTGACAATCAAATGAACCTGGATACATTCTTTTTGATTCGTGGTGGAGATCCTAGTGTCACCTTGTTTGTCTCTTTCATTACAACCGTCAAGGCACTCGGGAATACTGTCCCTAGGACCGATGGTGAGAGTTACCGTGTGTGTGGGAGTGCAACGACACCAAATCCCATCGTAGCGGCTTCAAATGTAGATGGAAATAATGAGGCCGTAGATGAGCAAGACGACGTTGAAGACGATAAAACAGATGAGGATGAAGAAGAGGAGGAGGACAACGAAGATGGTGCTGGGTATGATGATTATCAGGGTGATGATGGATCTATGGGGGGAAGTACCCTCGATCCTACTATAGACGGTAGTGAAGGCAGTGGCGAAGATTACGATTACAACAAGTGGAACGATTTAATTATTGAAGAATATGGAATAGGGAATGTTGAGGAGGACGTCATTCTCACTCAACAAACGGTTCAACATCCAGGGGAATTCAGTCGTCTATTGGCAGAGTGTACGTACACAAGTCATCGTGTACGTGGGGGAGATAACTCGGTTGACCGTACACCAACGGTGACTCCAAGACGTACGTGTCAACATGGTTTGTACCAATGTACGTACACAACAGAATGTGTACAAGATACAGGCTGCGAAGGTAACACCGATACCAATATTAATGGTATAGACGATGTCTCTGGGGATGATGTTATCGACCGTGGTATTGGAGATTCCCCAAGTGGGACACTGAATGATAATCGGCTAGTTACTGCACCTGACGGAGATAATATTTCTCATTCGGGTGACCGTACACCAACGGTGACTCCAAGACGTACGTGTCAACATGGTTTGTATCAATGTACGTACACTACAGAGTGTGTACAAGATACAGGCTGCGAAGGTTACACGGATACCAATATTAATGGTATATACGAAGTCACTATCGACCGTGGTATTGGAGCTTCCGCAAGTGGGACACTGAATGATAATCGGTTAGTTACCGCAGCTGAGGCTTACGAAGTGTATAATGACTTTTCTACATTACATGGTGGCGAGTTGGAGATTCTAGATAATGATGCTGCTCCGGTATTCGATGATTTAGCCAATTTACGAGATGATGAGACACAAGTTGAACTGAGTACGACAGGTGAGACTTTGTATGTCGGGAGTGTTTTTAAGAACAGAAAAGTCATACAACAAACAATATCTTATCTCGCAATCAAACAATGCTTTTGCTACAAGCAACGTAGGTCATGTCCTACAAGATTGGAGATGGTCTGCGTTGATGATACTTGTCCATGGCATTTGACAGCTCAAGTTGTCAAGAATTCAGAATGTTTCAAAATCACATTGTATGATACCACCCATACGTGTGACATCGACACTCGTAAGAATTATAATAAACATGCTAGTTATAAGCTTCTCGGAGAGGTAGTGAAGAGCAGATACAGTTCTACGCAAGGGGGTCCGAGAGCTGTCGATTTACCACAGTTGCTCCCAAATGATCTCAATGTTCGGATTTCATATTCTACCGCTTGGAGAGCTAAAGAGGTTGCAGTAGAAAATGTAAGGGGGGATGATATAAAAAGTTACAGGTTTTTGCCTACCTATTTGTATCTTCTTAAATTAGCTAATCCGGGTACGATAACTCACCTACACTCTACACCTGAAGCTGATGGTACGCAGCGCTTTAAGTATGTTTTTGTATCTCTCGGGGCTTCTATAAAAGGTCTGAAGTATATGAGGAAGGTAATTGTCGTAGATGGAACGCAGCTAGTAGGACGTTACAAGGGATGTCTCCTCATTGCATGTGCCCAAGACGGGAACTTCCAAATATTTCCAATAGCGTTTGGTGTTGTGGATGGTGAGACTGACGCTTCATGGGTGTGGTTCTTTGATAAATTAGCTGACATTGTTACAGACAGTGAAGATTTAATGATTGTATGGGACAGACATTCTTCAATATATAAAGGCCTCAGTGTGGTTTATCCGAAAGCTCATCATGGTGCATGTGCAGTACACCTTGAGCGAAATATCTCCACCCATTATGGTAAGTATGGTGTATCTGGATTATTCTTCAGCGCTGCTAAAGCTTACAGAGTGAGAGATTTTGAAAAATACTTCGAACAGTTAAGGGCTAAGAGTGCTGCATGCGTAAATTACTTAGAGGAAATTGGATTTGAGCATTGGACAAGAGCTCACTGTAAAGGGGAACGCTACAATATCATGTCTAGCAACAATTCGGAGTCTATGAATAATGTCTTAACAAGAGCCAAATCATATCCGATTGTGTACATGATATAGTTCATTCGAGAGGTCCTAATGCGATGGTTCGCAGCGAGGAGGCAAAAATTGGCTAGGTGTAAGTCTTTAGTGACGCCTGAGGTTGATGAGCGTTTTTTCCAAGATTTGCCTGCGTCAGGGAAATTCGCGGTTAAGATGTCTGGACCGTGGAGTTATCAAGTTACAAGCAAGTCAGGTGAGCATTTTCATGTCGTTCTGGACGAGTGTACGTGTACGTGTCTTAGGTACACAAAGTTGAGAATCCCATGTGAACACGGTCTAGCAGCTGCAATCGAGTTTGGAATAGATCCGAAGGTTGTTGTAGGATGGTGGTATGGACTTCAAATGTTTTCCGATTCTTTTCAAGAACCGATTCTACCTATCGCGGATCCGAAGGATGTTGTCATCCCACAACATATATCGGATTTGATACTAATTCCTCCATACTGTAGACGACCACCAGGAAGACCAACAACCAAAAGGATTCCATCTAGAGGTGAAAACCGGGTAAGTGCTATCATTCAAACGTGTACAGATTTTTCAAACATTATGTTTTGAGTATAAGATACGTAGATTATTAACTTATTGTTGTTGTCATTTCAGAAAAAGAGACAGAAAAGACTTATTCCGAATCAGTGCACACGATGTAGACAAGCAGGTCATAACAAGAAGACTTGCAAAAATCCTATTTAGTTCTCCTCATAAGCTTTATGTCTCCGCGAAGACAGTGTACGTTTATGTGTGGACAGTGTGTACCAAAGTGTTGTGACGGTGTACGTACGTTTAATGTTTGCCATCGTATAACTATGTACGTTTTCTGAGTGTACGTTTTTGTTAGTGTACGTGTTTGTTGTGTCTGTGTACGTATAATCTTCATGCAATAAACGGTTACAAACGGTTACACACATTTGTATCTCAACCGTTGGAACACTTTCGCACTACCCACCGCGTCCGTTACGGAATTTCCTTATTTAAGCCACATCTCCTCCTCAATTTTATCCACGTTCCTTCAAACGAAAACCCTTTCACATTCGGCAGTTACATCAATCAAACACAAAGTCTTTCGATTGTTCTTGCTAACCGTGTGATGGACGGGTATCACACCATCTCCAAATTGTGTCCTCAGATCACTGGGTAGACAATTTGTGTATTTGTCGTGAGAGTGTTTAAGAAGTTTGTTGCGCCCAATATCTTCGAACTCGGCCTTATCTTGGCAGATAATTCGGTAGTTTCTCTCTGTCGTGTTTGTGTTTTTTTTATCATACGTTAGGTTCAATTCTATATAAATCTGTTATATATCATATTCTGTAGGGATCCCGTTCCCGTATCGAGGCCACCATTGATCGTCGCCTTGCTCCTTTTTACATAGACCGAATCAAAGAAAATGAGTGGAAAATTGTGACCACTTTCTTGGTCCGTAACGTCGCTGACCCAGTGAGAGCAACATCTCATGACTACGGCATATGGTTTATGGATCGGACCGTCGTTACTAACGCCTTACGAAGGGACCCAATATCGTTTTACGATTTCACTCAATTCGACTACATTTTGGAGAAAACAGTTGATAAGAAAGTTTTAGTCGGTGAGATGTTTTTTAAGTTACGTTTTATTTACACATTTTTGAAATTAGAAGTTTGTTTCTATTTTTTGGCACTTGATGTAGATGTCATTGGAGCGTTGTTGGAGGTTGGCCACTTGACCGGAGACTTCTACGGTCTCAAGCTTCCTTTCAAGATCAAAGATAGATAGTAAATGTTCTTTTCACATTTGATTCACTTACACTTTTTAATCTAAACACTGATTTGATTCTTCTTTTAATCTAATGTAGCAACGAAGTTTTGGAATGCGAAGCACACAATGAACAGGCGTTGGAATTCCAAACCTTCTTTCGGAGTCTAGGTCAGCGCAATGTTGTTGTCGCACTCGTCTTCTGGCATTTAACCGACAGAGCTAATCCTAAGGTTGTGAGTCATGGTCCTGTGTCAAAGGTCTTTGCCGATCCGGACACACCGGAAGTGGAAGAGATCAAGCAGGTCGTTTTTTAGATAGGGGGATTTGTTTTCCCCAGTCTTCTTATTATTAAAGACCAGATTTATATTAAGTATTGTAAAACTACATAAACTTGTTGTCGTTTTCTAATTACTTGAATTTGTATAATAAACTATTGGGTAATTGTACGTACAGTGTCTACAATTACAATTAATTTGCCAGTGTACGTTTTACTAGCTTTTTGGTTCTTCAATCAGCAAATTGTACGAAACCCATGTTCGCACAAGAAAACATACATATATCATATTTGTTGTCCTCAAACAACAAAAACTTCATTCATTCATAATTAAGTGCCCGAAGAAGGACATACATTCAAGAAAGACAAACTATATATTAGATGCGGAAGCAATAAACTAAAAAGTAGAGCCCGAAGCATACACATGAGCCGGAAAATTGTATGCCTCATCCGTCATTATCAAAGTCATATCTAATAGAAGACACACATCTCCCTCGCGTACCAGTAAAAGAAACACCCTCTGCAGCCGGAACTGTACGTGCAAAGGCCAACACATGCCGGTGTGTGCACATACCTCCATGAACGTTGCCAGAGCCGAGGACCTTCGGTGTGAAGCTGGCTTATGTGATACATCACCATCTCCCCCACTGCGTGAGCTGCCGCTAATGTGGGTGGCATCGCCCAGAACATATCGCTGACTGGAAGAAAGTCGACATGGTTGCCAGTACAAGTTAGGAATAAGCCGGTCGCGAAGCAGGCGAGAGGGTTGGATGGAGCGACGGAGTTGAGTAGTGTAATGCCGTGGGCCACCGTTAGGAAGCTGCTTGCCTGGCGGACACCTTCGAGGTATATAGCCGGGATCGCACCCCTTTCCAGCAAGAGGCTGAAGTAGGCCCTGAAGGGAGACTCCGGCTGCACGAAGTGAGGCCATGTGATGAAGTCGTCCATCACTATTGCGTTTACGTCACTTGCTTCGACCAAGTGGCGGAGGGTCTCGATGGGAGTCTGGGATACGGGCAGGTAGTTGATGAGGACGGAAATCGGGTTTGGCAATTGTATTGCAAGGTACATCTCGGTTGGAGGGGTTGCGGGGAAAGCCATGTTATTAACAAAGGAGGTTTAGAAATAATCTTGCAGTTGATGAAAGAAGGAGGTTTTAGAATAATGTGAGCAAATAAATTAGTGTGTGTGATATCGTTTATATAGGTCCTAAATATTGAGTTCATGTATATGGCTACATTTGGGGGGGAACGCATTAATAAAGTGTCATTATTTTAAAGTTCCTCTTATCTGACAAATGCAAGTGTACATTAATTGCAAACCGTGTACGTAAAGTAAGGAGATTTAGTGCGAAACGATAGAGGTCATTCTATGAATAGAGCTTGACAGTATGCATTAAATAACCACTCCAAAACTTGTAGATATGGGTTATTACAGGTCAAATCAATCAGCATTGCATCATCATTTACTACCATCTCGAAAGTCGCTTCTCATATTTCTAGTTTCAAACCAACTAAAATACGTGTACACAGTAACGTATACCCGTGTACGTATGTCTACCCTTATTACGTTCTCTGACTAAAAGTTTGAGTTAATGTCTGTCGCCGAATTAGGGGAAAAGATTGAGTTCATGTATATGGCTAAATCTAGGGGAAACGCATTAAAACCAAATCTCTTTCTTTTGCAATTTCGTTTTATCTGACAAAAGACAGTGTACATTAATTACAGGGATGTGTACGTATAATATGTACATTAATTTGCGTTTCTTTTATTTTTTTTTTGAAAAGATAGAGGTCATTATCAATGGCTAAATCAGGTCAGTATGTATTTACTGATAATTCGTAAGCCTGTGTAGACAAGGCACCATTATCTAACATTAAGAAACTTGTTTCTCAATTTAATATAAAATATTACAATTATTTGTAACCATTCATAAGATTGAGTAGTATATGAGAAACAAGCAAGGATGTAGATAAAAAGATATTCATTACTGATTAGCAAAGTACAATTGCAAAGGCCACATATTATAACATAAAAACTTAGAAATTCAGATAATATTACGTAAGAAATCCCTAGAGAATTTGACTAATTCTTCTCGCACACCACCAGAGGTAACATACGTTGCACACATTCTTGAAGGGTCCAGATCTGATGTAACACAGCATCGCGCAAGGAGGCGTTTGAATACCACGTTCCTCAGGGTACGAAAAGGTTGCGCCGTATGTGTTGTTTAACCTAATTCCATAATTTTTTATTTCTTCTAGGAGTTCCTCACACATGTCACGTGTTTCTTCTGATTCCAAAGCGTAATGGTTGTTTGCGAACAGGCGTAGGTACACACCACCCATGTGAGCATTCCCGTCGCATATGCACAGAATAGCGCAGGCCAGGGTTGCAGCGGCGTGCCTTGGTACATTCCGCTGTAAAAGTACAATGGCGCCCTTAATGTCAGACTCATGGGTAACTAGACGCAGTCCTTCATGGTAAATAGCAATCGGGTTACCAGCCTCTAGACACCTTTTGAAAAAGGGTCTATATCGACCTTCAGCGTTGATGTCATTCGGATCATGGCCTGCCCCATGGAAGTCATCGGGATCACTGCACATGCTATAAATATTAGCATCTTTCAAGACATCCGGCCTATAGACAATGTTTCTTCCACCACGCCCTGATCTTAAAAGAGGTCCGAGATACCACCAACATTTTTCAGCCATTTTTTTGGCTATCTTGGCTAGCAAATCTTCAGGTAGATTTGGTGTAGACATTTCTTGGAATTTGGTGTTTCAAAACAATGCAATTCCTACTCTTAAATAAAGAACAATGAAGTTAGTTGGTTAAGTTATGGTTGTAGTTAATGCAATCTTACGTAAGTGATGATGCAGTGAGGGAGGGTTGTCAAATCAATGTAAGTAAAGAAATAGATATCTTATTATGAGAAAAATCGACTGTGTAAAAGACGTACGTTATATAAGATGTACGTACACATGTTGGTTTTTGAATAAGTGTACGATGTGCAGATTGTTTAGAGAAGATAGTTATAACGATTACATAAATATTTTGAGGATCTCCATAATTAATTACGTTGTTCTAATTAGGTTGTTGAAATAAGGAAATAAGTACTAGGAAATAAAAATAATTCAACATCCAGGGATGATTACAATAAACGCCGATTACCACACTCGCGCTTGCCGTGCTCGTAGATTTCTGTTGCGTACACCTGACGGTAGGTGGCCATATCTGCTTCTTGAATATTCACCAATTCTGACATTGGGTTACCAAACGCCAGCAACTCCAAGAACTTCATTGCGTAAGGCCCGCAATCTCATGTACTTGGGTTTTGAGCGACCATAACATTTCTCTCATAGGCGAAAGGTTCAACTGAGTACTTCTCAGGCAATACATCCGCGCACATCGCTCTCACTAGGTACGGCATCATCTCGCAGACAGGCTGCATCTTTGACCATGCAACAGACTCCCGCGTGTGTTCTATGAGAGCGTCATAGACAACTATATTCCGGGCTCTGAGGTGGATTGCCAATCTAACCCAATGATCACCTTTCCAGTTCATCGGAGCATATACCACGTCGACATCCTTGAACCACCTAAGACTAGGTTCACGGTGTATGTGTATTCCATTGGCCATGTCGTATAGCCGGTCGCCCCATTTGAACCCAAGCTTATTTATACAATTCCTGAAGCTGACAGCAAGCTTAGTAAGCTCATAAAGCAGGAAGGAGTCCAAAACAACGCATCGGTTTGCTATCATTTGTTGACCGTTCTTGTGCCACATAAAGATTGCGAGCATTTCCAAGACCTGAAATGATAATAGCATAGGCAGTCAGTGTACGTACAATTCAGGCATATTTAAAAAATGTACACAAATGTACTATTTCAACTTACCA